GATGGGAGTGTCAGAGACAGTGCGATTGGCACAGGACAGAGCAGAGTTTAGGGCTGTTGTACATAAGCTGTTGTACAAGGCCAAGCGACTCGACAGCACATAACAACAACAACAATATAAGGTTATCGTCATCTTATATCAGAACTGACTTGATGAAAACTAACAGCAACATCAATAAAGTTAACAGGAAATTAACCATGGAAAAGAAGATTTAAGTGTCAAGAATACAAAAGATTTAGATGGTCAGAAAGGACAAGAACAGTTTCAGATAAAGGGATTTTACAGAAGGAAGAAACACATCTTTATTATAAAAAGTTCTGTCTGATGGGGGGGGGATTTCTTTCATTTTTCAAGAAGAGTGAATTGGGAGGAGAGGGTGTGGTCAAGGAGAAAAGTGCAACAATTAATGAGTGGAAACCCTAAGTCTCTGTAAACTTTCATTAAAATTAATTTTAAAAAAACACAACCACAACAAAAATAAAACCCAAAATTAAAAAAAGCATTAATTCCTACTCTGAAATTATTTTCTTTTTTCTTTCTTTTTAAAGAAAACACAACCCTCTAATGACCATAAATTCATGTGGTGTAGTCAATATTTATAAGTGGTAAGCTGCAAACTAGTATAAAAGTTCACATGACATCTCAGCTTTGTGTACCTGATAAGTTTCCTGTGACAGCAAGTTTTACTGGTTGCTCCTAGTAAACTCTCTAATCAGAATGTGCAAGTCACCAGTGATTGAAGTTTGTAGTACCACAAACTGCTTATATGACATCACAAGTTTCCCACATAATTTAAGGAAAACTGCTTTTCAGAGTGACTTAGCACTATTTGGTTTGATTCTAAACATAAAGAATCAGGGAGGGAAGCCCATTAATACAACAATAAAATAAAAAGAAAGTTTAAACAACTGTAATTTGCTGGTGTGTTTAATGTGAGGAAGTGACTCATTTATGCAAACCTTCTCCTTTGTGTATAAAGTACAAGACTCAGTGACACATTAAGCTGTTAGGCGCAGAACTTAGTCACAAAAGTTATGTAAAATCAAATGACTTGAGGATAGGTTAGACAATATAGCAACATTCCAATTCCTAGCAAACATTGACAGGTCAGACAAAACTATCAGTTGTTAAAGGTATTTTGATGTTTCTTTTTTTTTTCAAACTAGCATCTTGCCTAGAAATTTCAAAAGCAATTCCTTTAAAGTCTGACATGGTTGGCATAAAATTGCCAGTGGCAACATGACACTAAAAATGTTAATTAAAGAAAACGTTTTTTTCACAGTTTGTATGTTCTGAAGTAAACATGTTTACAGCATAGTCTCGTGATGACATTTGTATGCTTAATTTGTACAATTAAAAATAATCAAGATGATAAAAAGGATGTACTAAATAAATTTCTTTTTTCTTACTTTTTCAAAGTAACTATGCTCTTACCGTATTATGAGCAGTTCTACCCAGACTCGTACGAAAGCTGGTAAAGGCCCAAAGACTTCCAGGATATATGTGTAATGACCACCTGATTTCTTTATACTTGTTCCTAATTCAGCATATGACAAAGCTCCTGTGAAACAGTTATGATAAAAAGTGAAAATGTAATATATCAAGTCACTGAGTATAAATGACAACAGTTTTATGTTACATAAGATCACACTTCTCAATGACATCCCTATTTCTAGGTAGATGACTGTTAGCTGATTGCTAAGAACCACCAAGTTCCTCTTGGAACTTCCTCACATTTGAAATCTAGTTCATTCTATCAAATAACGTAATATTCCTTGAAATGGTGATGGCAACCTTCTAAAAAAATCGTATGATTTACAATGTGGAATACAAAGTTTGGAAACAAGGAAAATAGAAAAGAGATGTTAATAATATCAATTTACCATAAAAGAACATAAGAGCAAATCAAAATTTAAAAAAAATACCAACAGATCTCATTATAAGGTGAATAAACTCTGAATAAATGATGTTTCTGTGACAAATCAAAATATACAAGTATTATAAGTTCTCCAAAAGAATAGAGATTTTAGACCTTGCAAGTCATATTTTGCTTATTAACAAAATTAATTCTGCTCAGTCTCTTTCAACCATAGTAGCAAAAAATGTTTTATAAGCATGTGCTTCTGGGTAGTTTAAGGAATATTCTTTTCAAACAGATGTGCTTTTATTCATACTTATACTTGAGTACTTTTGTATACTAACAGTCTGTTAGTCACAACTGATTACAACTCAGCATTTTAACATGTAATAATAATACAATTAACATGGCAAATTACATAACCTTCTAAAACCTCAGCTTCACCCCTATAAAATGGAGATCTCAGTTCTCACCTCTTAAAGAACTTTATATATGTTTATATAAATGTAATAATATGTTCCAGTGAGAATGCTATGCTGGATATACCACAGAAACTAAAAGTGTAGAAAACAATAATACTAATTAGTAAAGCTTCTGATGAGGACAGTGATGGTTGGTTCATTTGCAGAATTCTCACGTTCTATTAGGAGACTCAGGTTCAATTACCATTCAATTTCCTCAAGCAGAGCCTCCATTTGTGTGTCTATGAAGGCTGTGTGTTACTCTGATCTTTTGACAGAGATTCAGGACTAAAGAAAGAAGGACCTTATCTTCTACTTGTGAAAATCAACTCATGAAAACCCTGTGGCTCAGCACAGTCTGATCTCATGAGTCTTAATGAAAGACTCAATGACTGGTTGGACAGTGGCTGATAACAATAGTAAAGTTTCAGATTGGACTATCAAAATAAATACAATTTGGATGTCTAGTGAAATTTTATGGAGGGTTTTTTTTGGTGGGTTTTTTGTTGGTTTGTTTTTTGGGTTTTTTTTATTTTTTATTTTTGTGTACCGTCGAATCAGATCTGACTGGCACAAGCGGAGATTGCCCCTCCTTCTCCAGTGGAGCATCTGATGGATTCCAACTACATGCCTTCTGGATTGCAGTGCAGCTTCTTGTCACTAGGCCACTATAGCTCTTCTAGTGTAATTTTAATATAACTTTCCTGATTCTTCAATATGGCATTCTATCAGAATCACCAGGGCAATATTTTAAAGAACAATAAGACAACAAAATCAGGATTTAACTCAGATCTATGAAATCTCAATAGATGTGTTCAATAATCTATTTGTATAAGCAACTTGCACCAGCTACTTTGTACTATCCAGTCTGAAAACTAGTATTTTCTACTGATGGTTTTCAATTATCTTAATTAAATAGAACTACTTATAACTCATCCTTCATTGAGAATCAGTTGCCCTGTTGGTAAGCTGTCCAGAAAAGCATCCAATTTAACACTTAGGAAAGACTCCTACCTACCTCAGAATCTGTTGTCAGAGAATCAATATCCAGATTCATGTATACTTCAATGAAACTCTGGATGCTGCCCTAGGTGAGTTGTTGGGGAATGAGTTTTTCATTTAAAGGTCTCAAGATCTGTAACCACTTTGCCCAGATGAAAAAAAGTTCCAAACAGGATGTAAAACTCCACGTATTGAGCTTAGTTTATAAAAAATTTATAGACCAGATATACAGATTACAGAAATACAGTCCAAAAAACTCTCCAAAGTCTTCAAAGGAAGAAAAAAAAATTTCCCCTTTCCATTATACTAATTTTTTTTTTTTAATTAGGGAGGCACACCTGTCAAATAGCCCCTAGTAATAAAAATGAAAAATGCCATGCAAAGAGCTCAGTAGATGCATCCAAGAGCACATTCTCTCTAATTAACAATCAAAAGATATCAACTAAAGATAATAATCTCTTAAGTCAAATTTTTTTGTTGCGATATTTTTCTGCTTGAGTATTTATGTATCAGAATACTTTTACAACACCTCATCATCACTACTCTAATGTGCAAAAATTTTGTTTTACTACACTTAAATAGGTGTATGTGTGTGCATGTGCATGTGTATACACTTGCCCTCACATAAAAATCTAGTCCCAAAGTGGAGGTTGCTTGCATGCATATATGTGACATTTCCAGAAAATTGGTTGTGGTTTCCTATACACATTACTTTATTCTGAATATCTGAAATAATGTAGACAATTAAAGATACTTAAAGTCATTTAAGAAGATTAATAGACAGGGTTTTTACTGTTTTGTTTATTTATAAGTACCTATGACAGAATGATTTAATATTAGCTAATGGTTCTTTCATCATATTCTATAGGTAAGTCTTCCATAAAATGGTTTTACACTGGGAACACAGTGTTTTACAACTATTCCTAAACATTTTGTAAAGTACATACTACTCTCATATAGCATAATAAACTTTTCAAAAATCTAAAATTAATGCCTCGATAGTTCTTTCTAAACTAGCCAAGATTTTTATTTACAATTTTTACTTAAAATGCATCTTTCCTAATACCATCTATTTAAATTCTCAAGGTGAATGTCACAACCAATAGCTTAAAGTACCACAAGGCATACATATTAATGAATGAATGACTTGGTACTGACACAATCAAGAGTAAGCATTTGGTCTTAGAGTTAAGGAAAAGAATTTCATTAAAATTTCAATTAAAAAAGTAGGGTTTTTTTTTAAGAGTAATACCTTTTGGCACCAAGATACACTATATTCTAGAGAAAGAAAAATCTAGTTTGGTCAACTCACCCACTACAGAAATACAATTTGGTTAACTTGTTTTTTTTTGTTTTGTTTTGTTTTGGACTATTTACCAAGCTTCACAATAACTGGACCATTTCATGAAAGGAATGTTTATTACTCCTTTACTGAGAATTTTAAAGCAATAAAGGAATGCAAATGGTGAAGAGAGTTAGAATTCATATTTCTACCATTTCTGCTTATATTAATGCAGTGAGTAGGTCGGCATCTTATCTGTATCCATAGAGAAAAAGGGAACAGTAGATGAAGAAAACAGATCTAGGCAAGCACAGCATGCTTACACCCAACTGGAGTTTTAGAATTCACAGTACAAACATTTATAGGTAAAGAGAAGTGATGCAGGATTGGAAAAATGTAAAATATGTAGGAGTCAGAGTCCCCATTTATCATGAGAATTCACTTAGATACCATCTGACATCTTCCCACTGACTGACTATTTAGAACTAGTAAGCACATGACGTTAAAGAATTAAAAAGGAAAATATTACCGCTCATTTGCTTTGTCAATAAAGCAGTAAAACTGCTGAACACACAGTTTTGTGTCTAACTAGGCCAGTCTGGGTTTCACTTCACAGGTGTTTCATTCACTGTGCCAGCTGCCAGGATACCCCAAATGTACGCAACTATGCACAACTGTCCAGTGCAGACAGTTCCTAAGTATTTTATTAGGTCATCAAAGTTAGCCTTTGCTTTCTTTGCCACAGGGGAAAATCAGAAAGAAAAAAAAATAGATAAATACTGTGTCTTAGTCAGGAAAAGAGAGTACAGCCCGCGGGAAGCAGTTCATAATCAGGCTAACAATAGCCCCTGTGTCTGGGTAGTTCACATACCTAAGCAAAAAGAAAAATGAGAAAAATTTGGAATAGTCTTTACCATTCACTCGAAAAACTACCTTTTGCTTTCCCAGCTGACATTCTGCTTGGCCCCACAGTCACGCCCCCACAAAAGCAGTTGCACTCACCAAATAGTGAAAGGACCCCACAGGCCGTCCAGATAATCAGAGACATGCCCACGCTGCCCGTGTTCTGCAGCACGCCCTTAGGAGAGATGAAGATTCCTGCGCCAATGATGGTGCCAATGATGATGGAGATCCCCCTCAGCAAAGTGATTTTCTTCTTCAGCACCACTTTTTCCTGCCCTGGTGGCTCTTTGCTACCCATGGCAGTGAGCCTCACGTTAGCATTTGCCTGCAAGTACCCTCCATGAGACAGGGTGGACACCACTGGCTTTCTGACCATGGTTATGGCACACGGGGGCAGGAAACGAATCAGGAAGAAAAAAAGTCTTTCAAGTTTAGTGTCTCTTAGTGTGACTGATCAATCTTTCCCTCTGCCTTTAGATTTATCTGTCTCAGTGCTACTGTGTTCACAGGTGAAAACGCAAAGATGTATTTTATCCTTCACAGCTATCTAATTACCACTCAGAGACACCTGTGTGTTCATAGGGCTCTCGGTTCCCTCACTCCTCCTGCTACTACTGCTGCTCTGGCTGCTGCTGCCGCCCTATCATTAGAAACCAGCTCAGCTTCCTCTTGGGCTTGTATTTAAGCTCCTGCCTGTCACACCAACTTACTCCAGCTTAATGATGATGCAAATTCTCCAGGTTTGCATCAGCCACATGAGAAGACTCCAGCATTACTCAGCGGTTTTTGTTGGGCTTTTTTTTTTTTTTAAACAGTAGCAGCATGTTGCTCAACTGACCCAAGCTTTTCAGAGAACAAAGCGCACACTTAAAAGAAATCGTAACCAATCCAGAAGTGGTAAATTCAGAACAGACCTTCTCAGAGATTTAAATCACCTCCCAGTGAGGAACAAAAGCTCTTTAAGGGGAAAATGAAAAATCAAACAGGAAATAAGACTACATCTTTGAAAGAGTTTCCTTTCTCTTTAACAAATATATGAAAATGTTTCATAAGCCAGTATTTTGACAACACAGGGTAACATAAAGCTACATTGTTTATAACAACAAAATTTAAGTTTCCCAAGTTGTAGTCTACCTTTTTTTGGCTGCGAGTGAGGAGTTTCTTAGCAACACAGTCAAATCTCATATTTACAAAGACAGGCGGCTTCTATGCCATATAGTTACTGTCATACACATAACACTTGTAAGCGTTACTCAGCATTAGATAAAACTTTTTAATACTACTACTCATAACAAAGCAAGGTTTACAATCATCTCAAAAAATCAGCTTCACTCCAGGAAACAGACTTTTTCTGATTTTTATCACATCTAAGTGATTTCCTAAGTAAGTGAAAAGATATATATTATCCATTTTTATCTTCTTCAATTACCAAAAAGAAAACAATTTTTAAACTAAGAAATAATAACAATTACATAAATTATGCATCTGAAAAAAAACCAAAACAACAAAACCCCAAAACAACCCAGCCTGAAAAGCAGGACACAGAATGGAAGATGATGGCATTATGTCTGTCATTTCCCCCTGTACTGTACAAACTCTATTATAATTATTATTTGTAAATGTTTTTTTTTTTCAACTGTAAGCTAAAATCAAAGAAGGGAAAAATATTAGAAATACTAAAAACTGTCACAAGTGTCTACAAAACACCAAAATAAAAATGTCTGTTAGATCTTTTTGGCTATGACTATAGGTCTGGTGGCCTAGTGGAAAGAATCTGTGCTGCAATCCAGAAGGTACTGGTTCAAATCTACCAGCTCCTATTTGAGAAGGCTGGGCAATCTCCTCCCATAAGATTGTTGTTATTGTTGTGTATCGTCAAGTGGAAACCAAGCCATAGCTGACCTTCCAGTGGGTTTTCAGAGGCAGTTAGTTGCAAGGGAGGAGGTTGCCCAGCCATCTCCCAGGGAGCTTCTGGTGGTCTCGAACAGTGTGCCTTTGGTACTGCAGTGCAGCTTCTTGCCACTAGGCCACCAGAGCTCCTGTCCCATAAGATTACTGCTATGCAGACTCAATGGTACACAATAATTATATGGTTTTACATTTTCTTATCACTACCTTTAAGTTATATTTACACACATTACTAAATATGCTTCTGAAACTCTGAATCCTATGTGACTTGTATGAAAGACAGATCACTTTCTATTTGTTGGTCCTGAGAAAAATTATATATCACATCAATACTCTACAATTAATTGAGAATGTGTGTGTTTGTGTGTGTTCATTCCTCTTGATTCTACGGTGGATCAGCTGATGTATTTGAACCACCTGCCTTTGGGTTGGTAGTGCAATTCCTGAAGACCAAGCCACCAGAAATATGTATGTCAACAAGTTTGTACAACTATCAGGATATCATATGAGAGAGTCAGTCTAAAAAAATTCCAGAAGGCAAAATACAAAAACCAGTGTCATTATCATACCTCTTATAGCAACCTATAAATTTGTGGAAAACATAAATTATAAAAGAAAAAAGCTAGCAAACATTGTAATTAGTAGTCCTAAATATTTAAACTAAAAATATGGGTGGTGTTCAAATGTGTACTGTAAAAATGAGTTCAAAGCAAGTGGATTTATATCGAACTTGATGCTTCATGTCTAAACTAAGAGAAAATGCTAGTGTTATTTGTCAAGCCACCATTTCTTTAGGGCCTACAATACATGTTGCCATGGTCTATTCAATCACTTATTATGCATCTAAGAGCTGGAAAATGAATAAGGATGACAGAAGAAGAATTCATGCCTTTGATCTGTGGTGTTGGAGAAGAGTACCCCTGCCAAAATCTCATGCCAAAAGAACAAACTCATGAATATCCCATGCCAAAAGCAGATGTGTCTTTGAGAAAGTACAACCAGAGTGTTCCTTGGGGGAAGAATTGTTAAGTTTTATTTTTTGTATGTTGTGCATGTTGTTTTGTGAGGCCAATCTTTGGAAAAGAAAATCATGCTGGAAAGATAGTGAAAGAGAGGAAGATTCTCAAGGAGGTGAATTGACACAGTGACTGTAGCCAGGGGTTAAGCATGTCAAAGATAATTACAGATGGCACAAGATAGCACAGAGCTCATAGGTGGCTTTGTGTTTTACTCAACAGCACCTAATAACAACATACTCAAAGCATAGACTCAATTTCCTATGAGCATCTCATGGAAGAAGGAAACTAATGTACTATCAAAATTACTCTTCTTCTGTTAGCACTCGTGGAACTTATAATAAAGTTATTCAAATAATTTTTTCTTTGAGTAAAGTAAATATTGGGTATTGGTGAAATGGATTGGCATGGGGCATTTTGAATCAGATATGATCTACTATCTGGATATGAAAAGGTGAGGGGGAAATGGGGTCACTTTCATAGTTAAAAAGGCAATTTCTAGATCCATCTTGAAATACAATACTGTGTGTGATAGGATAATATTCATACGCATACAAGAAAAACCTGTTAATACCACCATCATTCAAATGTATTCACCAACAACCAAAGCCAAAGAGGAAGAAATAGATGATTTCTACCAATGGTTACAGTTCGAAGTTGATAAAATATGTACACAAAATGCATTAATAATGGGTAACTGGAATGCAAAAGTTGGAAACCAGGAAGAAGGTTTAATAGTCAGAAAAAATAAACTCAGTGACAGAAATGAGGCTGGGGGTAGAATGATAGAATTCTGCATAATTGTATAGTCATTGCAAGTACCTTTTATAAGAAGCATAAGCACAGGCTATTCACATGGATTTCTTCTAATGGTATGCATAGGAATCAGTTCTATTAGATCTGTGGAAAGAATTGTTGGAGAAGTTCAGTATCAGTAGTGAAAACTAGGCCAGGTGCTGATTGTGGGACAAACCATCACCTACTCAGATGCAAGTTCAAACTAAAGCTAACGAAGGTCAAGTCATACCCACAAGAATTAAAATTTGATCTGGAGTCTATCGCCCCTGAAATTAAAAACCAACTCAGGAATAAGTTTAAGCCCTTGTACACTAATGCACAAAGACCAGATGAGCTATGAGAATATTTCAAGAATATTGTCCATGAAGAATGCAAAAGGTCATTACAAAGATGGAGGAAGAAGAAAAGATCAAAATGGATGTCAGAAGAGACATTGAATATTGCACTAGAGCACTGAAAAGCCAAAGCAAAGGGAAGAAATCAAGAAGAAGTTTGGAATAGAAGATTTCAAAGAGCAGCTTGGAAAGACAAAGCAAAGCATTATAATAAAATGTGCAAAGATCTGGAGTGACTATCATTATTTCTTAAGCTATTGTAACTAAAGTACACATTCAAGCCTTGAGTTGCTATGCTTAAGGATGCTATGAGCAAAATATTGAATGATACAGCAAGCATTAAAAGATGGAAGGAGTATAGAGTCACTGTACCAAAATAGATTGGTTGACACAAAAGTATTTCAAGAAACAACATACTATCAAGAGGCAATTCTGATGAAGAAGGAAGCTTGGGCTGCTCTGAAGGACTTCACAAAAAATAAAGCCCTAGGGATTGATGGAGTACCAATGGACATATTTCAACAAACAGATATTGCCTTGGATGTGCTCACTAGATTATGCCAAGAAATCTGGAGTATAATGACCTGGTCAAAACACTGGAAAGGATCCATATTTATTCTGATTCCAAAAATAAAAGGTGATCTGACAGAGAGTGAAAATTATCACACAATATCACTAATAACACACAACAGCAAAATCATGCTGAAGATTATCCAGAAATGACAGGGAGAATACATTGACAGAAATCTACCAGAAATACAAGCTGGATTTAGAAGATGTTGTGGCACTAGAAACATTATTGCAAATGTAAAACGAATCTTGGCAGAGAGCAAAGTGGCCCAGAAAAAATGTCTGTCTGTGTTTCATTGACTGTGCAAAGGCATTTTACTGTGTGGACCACAACAAATTGAGAAGAATGGGAATCCCAGAACACTTGATTATGCTTATGTGACACCTATACTTGAACCAGGAAGCAGTCTCCAGAACAGAGCAGAAAAACACTGCATGGTTCAAAATAAGGAAAGGAGTGTGTCAGGGATGCATTCTGTCTCCATACCTTTTCAATCTATATGCAGAACAGATATTTTAGAAACAGGGATTTATGAGGAAAAATGTGGCATCAAAATTGGAGGAAGAATCATTAACAACCTATGATATGCAGATGACACAACTTTGCTTGCTGAAACTGAGGAAGACCTGAAGCAATTGCTGCAGAAGTCAAGGACTATACAGTCTTCATTATGGATTGAAGTTCAACATCAAGAAGACAAAGATCCTCACCACTGGGCCAATTGGCAGTACCATGACAGATGGAGAAGAGATTGAAGTTGTTAACAATTACAACTTGCTTGGCTCACAATCTAAACTCTTGGCACCAGCAATCAGGAAAACAAAAGACAAATTGCAATGGGAATATATCCTGTCAGGGACCTCTCCAGAGTACTGAGAAGCAACTATGCCAGTTTAGAGACTAAGGTACACCCAAACCAGGCCATGGTCTTTGAAGTTACTTGCTATGCACCAGAGAGCTGGACAAGACTGACAAAAGAAAAATCAGTGCCTTCAATCTGTGGTGTTGGAGAAAAGTCTTGAACATT